TGTCTGTGTGTGTCTGTGTGTGATGCAGCATCAGTCAGGGGTCTGAGAGCTTAACTTGAGGTTTTAGGTTGAGGTGTTTTGAGGCCATGTCCTGGACTTTCTGAAAGCTACAAAAAATACCCTGCCAACTTCACCACATCAGGACAGAACTTGGCTTTTCTGCCTTTCGTTGTTTCATAAAGTTCAAAAGATCTGTTTACATTATATTCTGTAATAGATCATTCATTAACAGGCACACCAAAAGGCATTTATGTGTGTGTGTGTGTGTGTGTGTGTCTTTCTGGCTCTGTGCAGTTCCTGGAGGGCATGCAGTTGAACTACAGCAGCCAGGCAGCTGACAAAGGCGTGTACATCATCGGGAGCTGTGGATTCGACTCCATACCTGCGGACATGGGAGTCCTCTACACCAGGGACCAGTTCAAGGGTATGCACATACATTGGCATATACACATACACATATACACACACAGAAACATTAACAATGAACCCCCCCGACACTGATGTGCAGTGCTCCATTCACTCTCTTTCTTCTCTCTTTCTGTTGCTGTTAATGATTTCTTTACTGTCATATTAGCCTCTGCCAAAACATGGTGTGTGTGTTCATGCACAGGTACACTGACTGCAGTGGAGAGCTTCCTGACTGTCAGCGCAGGATCTGAAGTACGTAACCACATGCAGTTTATTGCCCTTTTCTCCTCGACTTTCTCATTTCTTATATTTATGTGATATCACATATTTTGCCCCTTATTTCAGATGTGTTATTGTTCCTTTCTCCTTTTTTATATTCTCCACCTTCATTCATTGCATGGTCTCTGTGGCTTTTCCTCCATACTTTCTCTCTCTCTTTGTGTGTGTGTATCTGTTTTCTTCTATCAGGGTGGATGTATCCATGATGGCACATGGCAGTCAGCCGTGTATGGTTTTGCCGACAGCCAGAAGCTCCAGAGTCTCAGGAGGAAGTTTAATCACAAACCTCTCCCTACCGTTGGCTCTAAGCTTAAACGCAGGTATGTAGAGTAGCAATAAAAAATAAATCAGATTTATTTTGAGTCCAAGATACACACTGAGCAAGAAAGAAATACAACACTAAATAACTTTCTAAATAACCTCAAACTTATTTATGGTATTATTTTTTGCTACAATTTCTTTTTACTTATCAGCCAACATATCCACTGACGCAGTATATATGTGATGAGATAATATTGGTTGCTACTCATTGTTTTTTTTTTTTTTAAAGCTAGCTGATCCTTTTGTCTCAGGGATAAGCAATGCAGTACAGTTTGCCCCAAACATTTTCATGTCATTAAAAATCTTGTGTTTTCTCAGCATGCATTTCTTTGCATTTGTAGGGGAGCATTGTTCTTCAGTAATGAGATCCAGCAGTATACAGTTCCCTTCATGGGCTCTGATCCCTCTGTTGTGAAGAGAAGTCAACGCTTCCTGGCGGAGGAATATCAGTCCACACCGGTTAGTCTTCACATCCTGTGTATTCTTTACTCACACTTTCTTTGTGTTCACTTTCACTCGTAAAATCTAATCTTTTTTAGTTTAAGTGTCACAGATGTGATCAATTATGATTGTAGGTTTTTGGGCAATGCTGGTTTTGGGCTATTATAAGAGTTTTCCAGCCATCATGCAGGTTTATATGGAAAAGTGGGGATTAGTGGAAAAAAATATGAAAAATGACTGCACGCTGCTATCTTGTTCCAAATTTGTATTGGACATGATTGACAACATTTTAATCCCAGACCGTATCCACCTCCTCCACTTAGTTTTTTCCTATTTTTTAAGATACCTGCTTTAACCTACCTAACTTTTGATGGTCCAATTTGTAGTCAAGAAGATCCAGCCATCCTTTTCTTTATTTTGAATCTTTAGTTTTTGGAACAAAGTAACTAACAGCGTGTATATTACTGCCTCTTCTATGTTGGTAGAGCATTCAATAATCTTTGATTGTTAACTTCAGGTTCAGTATGGAGCGTATGCAGGAATAGGAGGTATTGGGAACATTATCAAGATGATGTTTGCTGGCATGATGTTCTGGTTCTTGGTAAAGTTCAGTTTTGGACGCAACCTGCTCATCAAGGTAAACAAACATAGCATGCAGACACACAATACACACAACATAATAAGATTTACACTTCATAACTGACCATAACTGACCCTAACTGAATATTCTGTGCTTATGTTATGTTATGCTTATGTCTGTTGTTTGTACCCATCTCCTCAGCACCCAGAGTTCTTCTCTTTTGGACTCTTCTCCAAGGCTGGACCAAGCAGAAAGCAGGTAAAGTGTTAACAGAACAAAAATATATCAGGATCTTCTTAAAAAGAGGATGCTCTGTTTTCTGATTTATGTTATGCATGTGTCCATGTGTGTATTAGATGGAGGGCTCATCCTTCCAGTTTGCCTTCTATGGAGAAGGCTACACAGAGGGACAGGACCCCTCCCAGGGAAAACCTAACAGCAAGATTCGCACACTGGTTCAGGGACCAGGTAACTGGAAACTAAACTCCTAATATAATACAATACATTTAGTCTTCGATGTAACAAAGAGTCAAAAAACAAAGATACTCAGGATTCCCTCATAAAACGGTTTGGCTTGTTGTTATTTGCTAATTAACTTGGTGGCATAATTATATAATATTTTGTTAAACCCTCCATTAATGCTTGATTAGTCTAATGGTTATTTAATTGTGTCTCTTTTATTATTCAGAGTGTGGATATGTGGCTACACCGATAGCCATAGTACAAGGTGCTCTAACATTCCTCAACGAGCCCACAGCCTTGCCAAAGACGTGAGTTATCACACCCTAAATCTACTGCCTGCCCTAGAAATCACCTAAATGTATGACACATGCATTCTGAGTTTTAATTAAATTCTTACTTTTGTCCATCACTTCCAGGGGAGGAGTGTACACTCCAGGAGCTGCTTTTGCAAAAACCACACTAATCGACCGCCTCAACAAACATGGCATCCAGTTCTCTGTCATCTAAAGCTTGTCCCACCTCTCTGATGTCGCTACTCCAGGTTTTTCTCAGCACTAACATGCATAATATCAACTAGGAAGTTTCCAACTTTAGAAGAGAGCTATTTCATCATGAGAGCCTCGACAAGAGATGAAGTTCACTTTCAGATTTCATTTTTGATGGTACTTCCTGCATTTATCCCTTTTCATTTGGTCAGAAACTTCCCAGTCTCCCTTTGGCTTGACTGCACTATTAATGCTCTGCTTGTAAGACAAATAGCACAACTGCAGCAGTGTTTCCTAGCCAAGGACAGTACAAGGAACAGTTGTGTGTAAAAAGGGTCTAACATGGCCCACCACTAACATGATTATTGCTGACCAAGGAAGAATTTTGGCCAGGATTTGGTTCACATCATGTTTTTCATTAAAGAAAGACATTAAAGGAAAAACATATTAAATTGTAATTTATAGCTGTACCTAATTGAATAGAAATATTTGGACTGTTCTAAGGGTAAATATACTCTCAGCTGCAACAACAGGTAACAAACAGTAACTTTAAATGTAGAAGGACATTGCTAACTAAGTAGCACTAACATTGTAGCTGTGTGTGTGTGTTTGTGTGTGTGTCTGGTTCGGTAAAACCGTAAACAGAATAGAAACCTGCTTTGTGCGTGTGTATGTGCACGTAAATGTTTGACTTTCCTGGCCTGGCAGCTAAAAATCCTGATTGCTTTGTTTTTGACAGTTTAAATAGTTGGACTATCACTAAATCATTCTACTCTCTTGAATCTTTTGAATGTTGCAGCAATTCATTTATCCACGTTTGCTTTCAAGCCTCGTCAGAAAATGCATAAAGTTGTTTGTGCACAGAAGAGCATGAGTTACTGTATGAAACTGAACAGATCTGTTAGTTAATAAGTGTATGAAAAGTTTGAGTTTAAAAAAAAAAAAAAAAAAAATCTAAATTGTTTTTGGTTTTTTTCGCTCTTGCGGACTGGAATAGTTTCATTCAGTGATGTTGAGCTTGTTTTACACATTTGAGAGGTTGAGCATTATGTGCACTTGATGAGATATGTTTTGGGGTTTTGTTTTGGTGTGCTTTGCTTTGTGTGGGCCTCCATAAATAAAGTCCTGCTGATAAAAATAGTCTTTGTCATCTTGAGACTGCTTTATGGAAATATCCCTCCTAGAGGTTGTCCTACAAACCCACAAGGTTAGTTTGAGATCTACTAGGCAACTTATAGTCATGTCATAGTTCATTTTCACAGCAAGTTCTCTATTTTATGTTTTAAATAAAAGTCTTAAATAAAGAAATGTATCCTTTTGAGCTTGAAAGCATTCCAGAAGTTTTCTCCAAAAAGTTGATCTTGCGCAGTGGCACAATATAAAATGTAGCAAGGTTAGTAGAGGGTTTTGAGTGTTCTCCACAAAGGTTTTGTTTTACATTTAATTCAATAATGTCTTGTGGCACTCTGATAACTAGGGGTTTAGGCATCGACCATGAACTCTAATATAAGCCATAAAAAGTTTATGAAAACTACAGAAGTTTGAAAAATGAATGTGGCAATAATTGCTTTTACTACTGCCTTCACATTTGAAGCACTGTGATGAAAGTTCTCCATCAGTGAAACTAAGTATAAGTGTCTTCACTGACTGCTCCCTTTACTAAATGGCTGGAAAATCTAAGTTAAGTTATTAATAATACATGTTAATTGTAAAGTTATAAAAATGACATGAGTAATGAATGGCTGGGGAAAAAAATAAAATAAAGCTTTGTGAAATGTCTCTTGCACATTTTCATAATTTGAACACAACTTTCCACCCAAAGTCATTAATCAAAGTAAAAGCTATTTGCATGCTAAGAATTAGTTTTGCTCTTAGGACAGTTTGTGTCACAAGTGTTCAGCTAGAAAGAGAAGGATTAGCAGCACAGATAGCACTGCCACAGAGGGAGAAAAAAAAAGTTATGAAGACACATTCAGGTTTCTACACCAACCTGAGGAACCACAATTCAACTGAACGATTCTCGCTTCAACAGCATCCCAGTAAACTGAACTGTGATTCTGCGAGATGACACCAATGCTGGACGTTCTAGTATCTCCATAATCCTGCTTAGTAAGTTTGTAGTGGGCCTCCCAGCAAATGCATGGGTGGTTTGACTCATCTGTCAAGGACCAGAGAGCTGTTGGCTTCAGTAATGTCCTCAACCTGGCGGTTTGTGAGATACTGCCAGCACAGCTGTTCTGTACGTACAGCTCTGAACATATTGGTGATAGCCTTTCAACCCTGTGGCTTCTGATGTGGGTCAGCCAGCCCATCGCTCAGAGCTGAATCTGTGTGGAATGTTAAATTGCAGTGGTCCACCATTTGATCTTCATCAGGTACATGTTTAAACTGATTTTCAGATCTGTGACATGTGATGGCCTTATTTGTTTTTTCTTTGTTGGCCGTTTACCTTTTTTGTTTCAGGAAGCAAGGGCTGGAGCTGAGATTCCTCCCTCATCTGAGCAGGCTGAGCTCAGGAGGCTATAAATCAGGTCTCTTCCCCTGCCTGCTGCTGCAACCTCCTTGGCTTTTGGTTATGTTGTTAAGGTCTTACATTTCCATACATATTCCACCATGCCACCTCTCAATCACACTTCGCCAGAACATGCCTGACCTTTGCCCTGACAGACATATTAAATCATATTGATTATTTGGCCATTTACTTCACAACTAAAATTGAAACTACTCCTCAGGCTGTGTCGTCTCCCCTCTTTGTCCTTTTGAGCCAGGTTGTGAGAGACATATTTACTGAACACTGCTGTTTCCAGTCCTAGGTTCAAGCCTCACAACAAAACGTACAAGTTGGCAGCATGTGCTCTGGCCTGGTGTGGGCCGTGCATCCTTTTATACTGCTACGTCTCAGTTATGTGTTTTCTGAAGCAGCCGGTCCAGGAAGGGGGGGGGGGAAGAGAGGAGAAGAGGTGACAAGATGAAGAGAGGAGCCATTAACATCATTCTGGTTCACCTGGCACGTTTTTGGGTCAATTATCCGACACCACTGATGGCTGAACATTTGAGCAGATGAATTCATATTTCAAGTTGTGTTTTAGATTTCGGTATGAGTCTGGGAATGGTCTGTGGGCACGTCCAACCCTTACTTTACCTGCACAGGGCTGAGAAGCTATCCTGTTGTCAAGAGAAAATTGACCTGAAGGTTAGATTAAAAACTTACAGTAGATATACGGAGGAACCATAATTACCTTGATCCAACACTACTACTGCTATAAGAAATATTTTAGGCTAAATGCAGTTTAAATGCAGTTGAACACAAGCTTCAGTCCATGTAAGTGGAGAGGTCCTATCTATCTCCTGTCCAGATGATAACAGTGATATTCTCTCCTTGGCTGCCAATAAAGCCACTGTGAGAGAGTTGGCCTAAATAAGACAGTGGTTCATAGCAGTTACTCCTTACCAGATGTAACCTAAAAGAGCTGACCTGTGGTGTTGGTTCATAACCACTGGATTGTATAACAGCAAATAAAAATAGTAAGTAAAGTAGTAGTAGCAACTAAAAATATATAACAGTAAAGGTGTCTGGCATCTTAAACAAGTCCAGGTTATTGCAAAAAGTTACACTTCAAAGTGAGTCACTTGGGCGTACATAATCTTTAACATGACAGGAAAGAAAATAGAATCTAAATCAAACTCTAGATATATTAACAAAATTCAAATATTTATTCATAAAAATACAGGTATGTCCTGCACAAAAATGGACAGCAAAATGTTCATGACTATAAACAGCATGAAGGTGAATTATTGTCTTATTCCTCTCCTGCTGTACTGTGCAATTTTTTTCAAAATGGCAGTGTACTGTTTGATCCAACATCTGTTCTTCATACTGCCTCTTGGTTCAGCAGTTGGTGAGAGTAGATGACATATTCATAGTGGTATTTCTCTGCTATAGCCATGATGGAGTCATTGCACCTGATTCTGCTCAAAATCTGCAGCACTTCAACCACAGCAATCCTACAGTAGAGAGGGACACATGAAAAAATATATATTTAATGTCCAACTGCTGGAGCATCATCATGTAACTAAAAACATTTTTCAATAAATAAAAGGTATGAAAAAAAAAAAAAAGATGATTTCTTTGGCAATACTTGACTGTTAAAAGGGTTAACTTAACGACCTGATAAATTTAGAGGTATTTTTTTCCATTTCAAAATGGTTTTTTTGTCTTTTTTTCTTACAGAAATGTGTTTTTTTTATTACCTTGTGTTTGGATCTTCAGAAGGCTGCTGTTTGCAAATGGTATGAACTCTCTGAACTAGGTAGTTTCTGAAATTCTGGAGCTGAGGCAAACAGACAGTCTCTCCTTTGAGCCAAGATAGTGGCAGACTATCTGCTATCTAGAGAGAGAGAGAGAGAAGTAGTGAGAGGTTAATCAAGAGAACGAGAGGGATAGATGACTAACAGCCAGACCATTGTCAAGATCAAGTGCACTAGCACCAAAAACACACACATTCCACTAAAAATGATCAATATAAACACCTTTCTGCATGCATGGACAGCATTGTTGTGCAGAGTCTGACTGCACAGGGTGATCATCAGGTATCGGTTCAGCAGTTTGTCCAACATCAGTTCCTTCAATACAGACTCAGGAAGCAGCATATCCCATTTTCCCATGTTACCTAGTAGCTAATATAAACACAAAACAACTCTGATTAACAAACAGCAGCATTAGACAATGTAACTCCCCCTCATGGAAAGATTGAGACAATATAAGAACACAAAAAAGGCATTTGTTAGAGAGCAGTACTTTTATGGCCGTCCAGAACTGTTCATCCCTGAAGCGACACTGAGGCGATGACTGGTCTTCTAGGAACCTGGATAGAAAAACAAAAACACTATTGTGATTGACCTGATTTAAAAAAAAATACAAATTAAAAAGGTCACTGATCGACAATTTTATCTAGTGATTGAGCATAAACGTGTTTGAGTCTATACTGTATTCTGAGTAAGGAAAATAAGAGACTTTTGCTGTAAATGAGGAAGAACACATAAGATCATTTGCTAGCGGTTAGAGATATCATTATGTGTTACACATTCCTTCACAAAGATGACACTGATGTGAAGTCATACAAGCTTTCCCCTTGTTAGTCACACAAGCAATCACTTAATGTTTAAACTGAAAGAGGAAAGAAAAGACTGACTTTTTGGGGTACAGAGGGATGAAGACATCTTCATCCACACAGCTCCTCAGTCGGTTGATCACAGACTCTATGAATGCCTGCATGGGACAGAAATACAAGTTAACACAAATATGGTCATATGCTCATATGCTGTGTGTGTATATATATATAT